TGTGGTACAAGTTACCTTTGAAAATCGTATTTTTCCAACATGAGTGTTTGTTAACTCGAGATACCTTTCGCCATCCGAGACGATTTTGTTCAAATAATTCTTTCTGGAACCGAATTGCTCGTGAAACGAAGTATTCGTGATTCGAGGTTATGTTGTACTCCTTAACAACCTAGGAAATGCATCGATGCCGATGGATTCTTTTTCTCCCGTTTAGCCATTATCTTTCATACTGGTTTTAACCATGCCGCTGTTTTTTGCGTAAAGTCTGTGAGTGATAGTATTTTGGATTGCCTTAATTCATTCTCGTCATTTTTCCTGAAAATTATGGAAAATTATTATGCATAATTTTATTAATTTAATATTACAAAAAATTCTGAAAAGTTTTTAGATTTTAACCCTCTTCCAACATAAGATCATTAACATAACATAAGATGAAGTTAATTTCAATGTAATTAAAGTAGTCTGAGACTACACGCGAAATAGACTGCTTACGTTGGCACAAGATAATAAACGGGTCGTATTTTAAACGTCGGCTAGACAGATGCGAAAGCCGCAATAAATTGTTTATAGTAAATAATTGCAAAGTGAGGCTGGCAAATGCTGTAACCCTAAAACTTTCAAACCGTTGGCTTAAGTACACAAGAGCTAACTTACATTCTGGTAAGGACTACAGAAAGGAGAAGTTATAATAAAGGTTTAAATCATAATATCTAATTAAATACCATAAAATCCTACCGTATTATTTATTTTTAGTTTATAAAATCAGCTGCACGTTTCGGAACCGAACTGAAATTTAAAAGTGGAAGTCCACCTGGATGAAGGTTTTCTAACAATACTTCTTTGTATTTTAGGTATGGAACAAATGGCCACCGAATTGAAACTCACTAAATTACCTTTTTTCTGAATGGCATCAGCAGGTGAGGTATGATACAAAAGAAATCGGCTATGCTTGGTATTTCTTAAAATTATTCGTAGTATTTAGTAGTAGGAGCACTGGTAAATATGCTTCGCATTTCTTAAATATTGTTTCATAAAGCTCTAAATCAATGCTGAATGAAACCTCAGGAGATTATCAAGTTAATTTCTGAAAAAATTGTAGTATAACCGAAAAATCGCACAATTCACTTCAGCTGAGCCTTACATTTTTTTAAATTGAACCTGAGATGAAATCTATAGTTTTCTAACATATTTCTAGTTAACACTATGTAGATAATAGTAGTTCTTATCCTATCGTTAACTTGTAGGTATGCTAAAAATTAGAAGTTTTAAAGACCTGAAAGGGAATTGCTTATATAGGTAATTTTTCCTAATTCAATTTCACTATATCATTTTCAGAATAATTTATTCGTAGCATCTGCCTTTTGGAAAAATGTAAGGTATTCTTCTTTCAAATATAATCTGTTTGTTATGAATTAACATTAAACTGAACTATTTTAAAATAATGGATTCAATTCTTAAGAATATTGTTTTTTTTTTTTTTTTTTTTTTTACTTTTTAATCGGATAGAGTTAAATAAAAAGGCATGTAACTTATAAGACAGACGCTGTTCTCATATCTTTTAGACGATTTTACTTTGCTATTAAAAAAAATTCGTTTGCTTGGAAATTCGTTTTTTAGCTGCAGTTATATTTTTGAAAGATTGATTCTCTATCAATTGCCATTTGCTAATAGACAGATTTGTTTTCATGCAAAATCGCGGTTTTAAGGAAGCTATAATGTATTTCTCCCGCCTTCTTAACGTGCCTTCATGGTGTAGTAATCTGCATGCTGGGCGCGTCTTCTGGAGGTCCGTGGTTCGATTCCCAGCGAAGGCGTAATTTTTCATCTTTTCTGCTTCCATAAATACCTAATGTCTCTACAGTGGCACCCGAACTAAAAAGGATGGTGGATGTTGATTCTCCACACCCAGGATTTGGAGATTGGGTCCCCTAAAATCCCAATCGCCCTTTAAAAGAGGAGTATATAAGGTATTTCTCCCGCCTTCTTAACGTGCCTTCGTGGTGTAGTGGTCTGCATGCTGGGCGTGTATTCCAGAGGTCCGACTCTCGATTCCTGGCGAAGGTGTTGCTCATTTTTCACTTCTCCTGCTTATAAAAAACACCTAATGTGTCTAATGTCTTTACAAAGCAATAGATGGAAAATTATGTCTGTGCTCTTTCCGAAGAAAATTATTCCTATTAAGTTATTAAAATAATAATCGCAAAAGCCATGGCTTTTCGATATCTAAAGCTATGACAGGTAATATTGTCAACAAGAAAGGAAAAAAGCGTCAAAGTTTGGATTCAAGTGGAAAAGTTGTTCCAAATACATATCCAAGGCAAAAAACGGCATGTTTCGAATTTTGTAAAGGTAAGATCTTTAATGTTTAATGAAACTTCGTCAATTCAAAACACAGTAGCAAAGTTATTAAAATACTCACTGTGAACTGTAAATAGTGTGATTAACTCCAACTGAACCTTAAAATGGCGAAAGAACAGTCTGCATCGTCCTTCTGTACGAAATATCTCAGAGCGCGCTGCAGAATTCTTTATGGAAGCATTTATCTGAATAAAAATGAAAAAATGTTGTCATAATAGATTAATCTTGCGTGTACTTGAATAACTGCAATGAAAATAGATCCCTCGTTATTATCAAAGAGAAAAAAAACGTCTTAAAACAATGGTTCAAAGAATCTACTGAAAGTTTTTCAACGGGATTTGTGATTGTTGCTGATTTTTCATATAACGGCAAATTAAAAATAACGAGATAAAAATGTTAAGATTAATTCCATGTATTATCAGGAATATATCTTATACCCTATTTTCAAATATGAAATACGTTCTGTTTAGCCACTGGGCCATCATTCAGTAGAACTGCATCAAGACAAAGCAAGCAGCCACATTTCAAACCTCACTGGTAATTTCCTGGAAAAGAATATAACAAGAAACGGGTATCAAGTCCCTACCCATCATCATATCCCTACTAAATATTTTGATGTATCACCCATGTATTTTTGTACTTTTGGAATTTTAAAAAGCGGATTATCCAAACATCGACCTACAACCCTTCATGGATTTTGGAAAACTGTCTAAGAGGAGTGAGATAAAAAAAACTGGTAAATCTTTACATTGTGGTAACTTGGCGATTTTTTGGCGAAACTTTGGCGACCAACCCTGCTATAGCAACCTGCTAGTTTTGTTTTGGGCGCCATTTTGTTTTCACGAAGTAAAGGTTTTTTTTTTTTTTTTTTTTTTTTTTTTTTTTTTTTTTCTACTCAACATTTTTTCCAACAATCTGCTAGCCGAATTACGCTTATACTAGAACTTTTATGGAACAAAAATGCTTACTCATGACGAAGATTAGGTGCGAAATCGGGAGAAAGTGCAGAATCGCAAACTTCTTGCCGCGTTTTTAAGAATTGCACATACACGGTATCCATGTACACGTCGACCTATTTTCACTTAAAAAAACGTCCTAGAATTGCACAAAAATGGCATTGCGCACACTCTTGACTTTAACTATGTACACATCGACCTATTTTCACTTAAAAAGTCAAAGAAAATTGACAAAAATCCAATTCTTCTTACTCTTGTAAAAAGCGCCAAACAAATAAGTGAGCGATTCTGCACTTTAGCAACGAAATTGTTTCTAAGTGCTTATTAGCTAAAATCACGATCAGAATTTTTCGGAAAATGTCACATGACATGTCTCATGATCTCTCATTTCTCTGAGACAAAATAATCTGTGATTCGAACTGTGTACTTCTCAGATTATTGCTAAAGTCCTAGCTAGTAACTTATGTTCCCTTACCAAAATGTCGCCGAACTACCTGTTACCATATTCTAAAGATTAGCCAAAAACCTCTACCGACACTATAAAAAGGTCTATTGTTTTTGAAATTACGATCTAGAAAGATGGTGAAAAATAAGTGTTATCAAACAGAATTTAAAACATAAACGTTTTAGCTAAAATATCTCTATAAATGCAAGGAAAGTCGTCTGAAAAATGTGCGAACAAGCTCTGTATATCTAATTTAAAATTCATTTTTAAATATACAGAAAATGCGTAATGTTCCCATGTTATTCTTATTCATCTTAAGTCCTATAAAACAATAGACATTTCGCCATTACACCTGGGACATCTCTATAAATAATTTTTACAAATAAATGTATTAAATTTTAAAACAGCCTTTTTGTGCAATAGTTAATACTGAACCCTTTTTTTTTTTTTTTTTTTTTTTTCATTTCTTTTATTAGCCCAAAAGAGGCAGTTTGCCCTGAAGGGCTTAATTTCGCTTTGTCATTTTTACGTCGGTTCACTTTTCAATTTGTTGCCACCAAATATTTTGGAATTTGTCTTATCATCTATTTCATTTTTGTCAAACATTAAAGAATGTTTAATTAACAAACTCAACGATTTCAAAGCGTGCAATGGCAACACTGTACGGGAGAAAAAAAAACATTTTTATCTCCAGCGCGCAAATCTGTGTATCAGAAATTCTAAAGATATGCTCTTTTTAAATTATTTTGGGCTTTTTTTGCTGAATTGAATTAACCATAAAATTTTATAAAACCATAAAACCATTTACTTATATTTAATAAATAAAGGTAACACACAAAACGTTAAAAAAACGCCCCTTTGAGAGTAATATCAAATCTGAAAGCTTTCCGATTTTTATTATTATTATTATTATTTTCTACCTTTTACCCAAAATCCCATTTTTAGTTCATTTGAAGGAAATAAAATATTTTGTATCACCATCAAGCATCTTGATGTCCAATCGGATAAATATTTATTGCTACTTACTTAAAAAAAGAACAGCTAATATTTCTTTAATAGGCTTTTTTTGAGCAGCAGCGATTAAAAAAAATCAAGGTTAAACTCAGCCTCGGAGAATGTCTAAGCAAAAAGGAAAGAGTATAGTATTTTCACATGGAGATTTCAAACTGAAGGAATGTTTTTCGGCAAACGAAAAGCATTGCCGTGACTCTTCATGCATAAATTTATTTCTTATAGCAATGCCCAAATGTATTCCTGCTCTAGAAGTTGAAGAAGACATCATAGAAAACATTTAGTAGAATTTTAAGAAAAAAATAAATCAAGTGTCAATCAAGTATCTGTCATTCGAACAGCTTTCTTGTATGCCAAAGAAATGTAAGACGTGTTTTTTTCCTTTTCTTTAATAATAATGCTAAGAAATTTCAGAAGCAGCTTTTAATTATGTGTCATTCTCTAAAACTATTTGTAATGTGACATCTTCATGCATTCTTTCAAATTTTTACATTTAATTATAATAGTTTTCTTCAGGAATTTTTGGTAAGGGTAAATTCTTCTAGCAAGTTAGTACAGTAAAATTTTAGCTGATATTTCTATTTTTCTTTTTAGACGAGGTAAAATTAAATTTATTAATTTCTTTTCGTATTTTTGGTCCAGAGAGGCAATTTTCTCAGAAGGGCTATTAATTTCATTTTCATATTTCGCGATGGTTTCACTAAAAACGGCGTTTCCACTTTTTAAATTGTTGCCACCTAATATTAGAGCCCTGCATTACATTTAAAGAAATTAAATAATGAAGAATCTGCATGAATGTTTGTATGTTTCTCGCACTGTGAAAAACAGTGGCACCTAGAGATATCAAATTTTGAATAACGCAGTCCTCCATCGAATATGGACAGCTGAAAGTCCAAATGTTGAATTTGCTTTATTATATATTTCATATTTTGTAACATTTTAACGAATTTTCGATTAACAAACTCAGCGATTTCAAAGCGAGCAACAGCAACACTTGTAGAGACATTAGGATGTTTTTTTGGAAACAGGTAAGATGAAAAATTAGCAACGCCTTCGCCGAGAATCGAACCGGGGATCTCTGGAATACGCGCCCAGCGTGCAGACCACCACACCACGAAGGCATGCCTAGAGGGTGGGAGAAATACCTTATACACTGTGCGAAAAAAAATCATTTCTATATCCAGCGCCCGAGACTGTGTATCGCAAATTTTAAAGATAGGCTGTTTTAAAATTATTTTGTGATATTGCTGTTGAATTGATTTTTTATGGTTTAAGTGCGAAGAACATGATATTTAATATATAAAGGTAACACACAAAACGTTAAGAGAAACGCCTCTTTGGGCCTAATATAAAATCTGAAAGCTTTCAGGTTTTTTTATTACTTTATTAATTTAAATTATGTGAAAAGACAACGTAGCACAGTATATATTTAAAGGAGCTATTAAATTAAATCCAGATGAATGTATAAGATATGTAAATTTATAACTACAATAGTTAGAAAATATGTAAAATGAAAATATTAATGTAGTCTATAAACACGCGCACTCTTTTAGTATGTAACAACAGCGGTACTTAGAGCAGTACTATGTAAACAATTAATTTTTTTTTTCAATTGAAATAGAAACATTTTAGTCGAGAAATGATTTCATTGCTTAATTTCGCCGAAAACGGACCCTTTTTACCCTGTTAATAGGAAAAGTATTTGGTGTGGACACCGCATGACTTAATTGTACGGACTATTAGTTTATACACATTTTATCCTGCACTACGTTTAAAATTACTTCGTAGAATTATCCGAACTTAATTAACCAAACCCTCGAGGCAAGTAGAAAATTACATCAAAAATTGCAAATTTGAAATTAAATATTCAGATCAATTTCTATCATCAGAAGTCAAACTTCTGGCATTTTTATTTTTTCATAACAAGTATTAAAACTTACAGAAATATAAGCACAGAAACCGTGAAACGTCAAAAGTTAGATTTCTTATTTGTCCAAAATTTTGTCTTAAATATGAAACTGCCAAAACAAGAATTTGAGTCAAAAGCACTTAAAAGCACTGTAACTGAAAGTGTAAGACGACTACGACCAACGATTACGAAAATAAAGCACGGGTAAGGCGAAGAGAGAGTGCGTGTATGTATGTGCATATATATATATATATATATATGTAATGTTTTCAGTTATTTCCAACACATCGTGGGCGAATGGTGAGGCTATTCCTGGCAGATGGTTAACGAAGCTGGGGTGATTGAAACACGGAGAAAAATGACGAATCAGGACTTTTCACTTTTAAGCAGCAAGCATATCTTTATTTTAATTTATAGCAGATGACTTTTTCCAGATGAAGTTAATCAAATAACTTATTCAGTAATTGAACTATAAGATACGACTGACTTTAAACTTTAATACATCATAACGTTTCTAACAAAGAAAGAGGAGCATAGCGGAAGCGTTAGCAGGACGAAGGCGAGAAGGCATCTGTGTAGGAGAACTTATGACTCAGCATTTATATGAATGGTTATGTAACAGAGTAGCTTCTAGAAAAATGTAGAAAACTTTTGACGCAGCATTTATATGAGGAGGTTATGTAATAGGCGTGAATGTTCTAGCAGGTACTGGGTTAGGGGACGATCCTGAATTGCAGAAAATTAATTAAAGGTTGCTGGTTCGCAAAGAGCAAAGCCATCGTATTTCTTTTATATTTTACATATATATACAACGTTTTGGTACTTACAATTGCAATATAAATGGGAGATGAACGATAAGATGTTATAACAGTCCTATATACAAAATTTCAGCGTTCTACGGCTTCGTAAAGTCTGAAGCTAGGTAAATGAGAACTACCCATCGTAAAGTGGATAACACAGTACAAACCTGCATTTCAGTATAATTAGTTCGTAAAGTCGGACGCTATATAAATGAGAACTGTAATGTACCCCATATACACACTTGCTTCTAAACATTTTTTCATGCGACTGTAAATTCAATAATGTTGGAAAATTGGAACTTTGAAAACCGACTTGCACATGTATAAAATGTATTTATGCATGGAAAAAAACAAGCATTGAATACAGAGATGATGAAATTATTTAATTTTCGCAGAGTGTATGAAGGCGTCACATTAACAAATTGACGTTTATTGCTAAAAACAAGCAAACAAAGTTTACATTAATAAGTTAGTATGTGATCACGATGGACCTTTCACACCAGCCTTACAGCGGTTTCCTATGCTTTCAATGAGCTGACCAACCATTAAAGGTGATAGCAATGGCCATTCCTCCATTACGGCTAGTTCTAAATGTGTATAAACTGGATGGAGGAAGTAAAAGAATAGACAGAGTACAGCCGAAGGCATCCCAAAGATTTTTATTGGGATTAAGGTTGGGGACCTCTTCATACGAGAAATGCCCTCACTCTCCAAGAACTTTATTGGCTTGATGGGAATGGGCATTATACCCCTTGAGGAAAAAATCAGGATCAATTGCTGCAGCGTAGTCTCACATTGAGAATCAGACTTCATCTCGGTACCACGTAATAGTCACTGAAACTTCTTTAAATCTGCAGGTAGGTGCGATATTCCATTGAAAGTTATACTTCTACTGCCCTTACCATGATACTTCTGAATGTGTGATATCTGATAATGTTCTGAGCTTGATTCCGTGTGCCTCTCCATGCACACTTATTATACAGGGTGATGAAAAAGTCAGTATAAATTTGAAAACTTATTAAATCACGGAATAATGTAGATAGAGAGGTAAAAATTGACACACATACTTAGAATGACATGGGGTTTTATTAGAAAAGCAATAATCTGATCAAAAAGCAATAATTAGCATAAGAAATTAACACAAAGCAAAGATGATGTTCTTTACAGGAAATGCTCAATAGGTTCACCATCATTCCTCAACAATAGCTGTAGTCGAGGAATAATGTTGTGAACAGCACTGTAAAGCATGTTCGGAGTTATGGTGAGGCATTGGCGTCGGATGTTGTCTTTCAGCATCCCTACACAGATGTCAGTCGATCACGATACGCTTGCGACTTCAGGTAACCCCAAAGCCAATAATCGCACGGACTGAGGTCTGGGGACCTGGAAGGCCAGGCATGACGAAAGTGCGGCTGAGCACACGATCATCATCACCAACGACGCGCGCAAGAGACCTTTCGCGCGTCTAGCAATATGGGTGTGGAGCGGCCATTCTGCTAAAAATTCATTGTTCCAGCAGGTGTTTATCAGCCAGGCTGGGGACGATGCGATTCTGTAACATATCGGCGTACCTCTCACCCAACGGTAGCAGTTACAAAACCAGAATCACGCATTTCCTCGAAGAAAAAAGGCCCGATAACAGTAGATGTGGTAAATCCAACCCCTACCGTGAATTTCTCGTCGTGCAATGGAGTTTCCACGACAGTTCTAATAAAACCCCATGTCGTTCTAAGTATGTGTGTCAATTTTTACCTCTCTATCTACATTATTCCGTGATTTATTAAGTTTTCAAATTTATTCTGACTTTTTGATCACCCGGTATAACGCGGCCCTTGCACACCCTTTATGATTTCAGGGTAAATCTGAACTCGTTCTTGAATAAGACATTGCGCCAATTGGAGATTGAGATGTTGGTGATACCACTTTAATCTTGCCTCTCTGGACTAGGCGATTAATGAAACACAAATACGTGATACTCGGGATAGAGTATTTTTGCATTAAGACTTTGGGGCACGGATATATTGTCTTATCAAATAACGCTGCAATCATGAATGCAACAGTTGTGGACGTCGCTCAGCGATACCGCTTGGCGACTATACCAGTATTCTTCCCATACTATACCAGTTTACCAGACTATGCCAGTATAGTGACCCTTTGGTCGATCGGGCACTGGTCTCTTTGCTTGACCTGTTCGGATTTTTTCCACATTTGAGAAATTACTGTGTGATCAAAGGTAAAGAAACGAGTGACATCTTGGATAGATTGTCTTATTTCAATGCGTCCGAGAGCACGCTAGCGTTCACTCTCTGACATTCTTCTTCTCTCAGCCACAGGAATATGAATATCATAAAAACATTATCCTACAACAATTATAAATACTTCATCAAGCCCTCTAGAGTGATGGTGTCTTCAACAATTGCCTAACTAGCGTTTATTTGGTCGTGACTGGCTTTTACGTACGATGCTTCCATATTGCCATGTGCATTCGCAAAGACATTCTTCCACTCACATTCAACTACACCTTCTAAAATTGCTAGTTCACATCACGTGTTTAAATTTTGGAAGCCGGTGTATAACCATAATACTTTTATAAGTGCGTCATAGCATGATAGGAATTACAGTTCTTCTTCAGCAGCGAACAAGATGTCTCTGCA